CTACCTTTCCAAAAAAAAAAAAAGATAATAAAGAATGAGAGAGAAAGAAAATTATAATTATAATAGAGAAAAACGAATGAATCGTTAAAGGTGTGTTTGTTAAAGGAATAATTTGAGTGAATTAACTCAAAGTGAATTTTTTTGAGTTAACTAGGGTTCATTTAGAAAAAGTGGTATAGTTAGTTGTTAGATTTTGAGTTTATATTAGAATAATATTAAAAATAAAATAATTAAAATTAGATTGATGTAAAAGTAGGAGGAAGTGTAGATAGAAATTAGATAAGGAAAAGAGAGATGATATGATGTGATGTTAGTTAAAATTATTTAAGTGGATGAATAGTGAATTAAAGTTGATATATATATATATAGAAGTGCGTTCAAATGAGAATGAGTAATAGTGAAGAAAATGAGAATAATTGTGAACCATTGGATTTATATTATCAAGGACTAAGATGAAGTCAAAGCTATCAAGTTCAGTCAAACTGGCAATGGCAGATTTGTAATTACATATTCTATATTGGTCAATTATTTAACCATGGGGGCATTTATGTAACCACATCTTCCCACCAACTATCCAATTTCACCTCCATCCCCGTCTTTCACCATCTTCCAGCCTCCATACTCCATAACCGCCGCCATCCGCCACAACACCCATCTCAGCCGACGAGAATTATGCACGTCGTCGCCGTCCAACGATGGATGTCGTCGCCGGCACCGTCGTAGCCCTGCCTTTCCAGTCGCATCATCACCATGGTGGACGCCGTCGAGATGAATGCCATCCCCACCGTGAAGTCACCGCCCGTGGCCGTCTACCACCCCTCGTCGCGCACCGCCGTAGTATTACATTTTATCTAGAGGTCCGGCCTTCCCTCGCCATTCCTCACCAGTCACCGGCAGTTGCCGTCCGCCCAAGCCCCGGCCATTCTGCGGGCCTACCTTGCAACGTCGATGGTGGAAGAGCTCGCCGGCGTAGACGATTCCAGCGGCTGACGCTTAGCACCTGGCGGCCGACACGGACAGGGCGATGTGTTTTGAGTTCTCAGTTTCCGGCGGCGGCGGTGAGACGGGAGGCGGGCGGCGGATGGGGACATCGTGTGTGTATTGTTGTGTGTGTGTATGTGCACGGTGGTAGGATTTTTTATTTTTTATTTTTTTATTTTTTTATGTGGGGACTTGTTGAAAATTAGACATTTTAGAGAGGCTTTGGTGCAATTCTAGAATCTTACTATGTTGCATTTTAATATGTGTGGCGATGTTGTAATTTATTAAATTTTTAATATACTATACATTAATGACATGTGAGATGCACAATACTTCATATTTTCAAGCACATTATAGATCCTGTTTCATTTTGTACAAAATACATAATTATCAATTGATTTGTGTTGATACCCAATTTGGCTCCAATTAATTAAATAATAAATGAAATAACAAAATACGGCCCGACAACAAGGGGCTGAAAATATGTAATAAATAAATAAATATACAGATAGGTCCTCAAGACTAATCGCCCGAAAGCTGATCGAATCCCTCGATGTCGAGTCTGCTCGCTGCCGAGCCGGACAGAATGCAAAGTAATCGGATGGCACGCATATCATGAAGAAGCCACCTTCGGATTGCTGAGAAGACGAACGTCAATTGGAACCGTCAAAAGTCATAAGCGGGGCCCCCAATGATTATCTCACATTAAATAATGATGTACCATTTTTTACTTATTTAATAACCACTTGCAAAAAAGGAAGGGGGTATATATATGTAAAAAATAGGAGAGAGAAGGGTCTTCTCTTCATTCTTCTTCCTCCTACAATCAAGAGAGAGAAAAACACTCTCCTAAAAACATAAGAAATAAACACCCATTTTCATCTATTTTGTTTTTCATTTTCATACAATAATTTGATTTATATTTAACAGTTGATCGTCCGATTTTCGACATCAACAGTTTGGCGCTAGAAGGAGGGCCCCATAATTTACTCAGAGTCAATTTTCGTCGGAAAACGGCGACTTTTTCACCTGAAAATCATGCTCTCCAAGTTTGGCAAGGCTACTCCTACTTTTGCTCTATTTTTTCCGCACTCAACACTTTTGTTCTTCATTTGGTGTTCTCGTACAATATGCTTGGATATTAAATAAAAAAAAATAAAAAATATTATTTGGTCTTAGTGTTCTTCATTTTCGGACCTAAAAACAAAAAACGATGAAGAGAGAGCTTTTTTTCTCCATACCCAAAGATCCCTCTTTATCTTACAAAAATCTCAAAATTCAATCTACCAAAAAACGAAAATCTGAAGCCAAGGCCTGGTGTGAATTTACGCAGGTCTCCTCTTCATTTTCCCTTTTCTTTTCATTTTCTTTTTCCCTTTTCTTTTCTGGCTTTTTGGAGGAATAAAAAATAGACCACTTGCAACCACTTGCTTGGTTACTGTAAAGCCACGTGAATGCACTGTTTACTGGCACTGTTCCCATCACATCATAATAAAATACAGAATCCAGTAAAACGCCAATCGTGGAAGGCTCCCCGTCGGCGCCCAGCTCGACAACTCCATCACAGAACCGACCTTGCTCGACACCACCGGATAGGTTTCAGTCACACTGAGCCACCGGCCAACCTCAGCAACTGCCGCACAGCTGACCGGCACCCAATGGCGACCGACACCGCCCACCCCCGGGCCGAAGACAATCACCGCGACTGGCCATCTCAGTCACAACAGACCTGAAATTTCCCGATGCCGACCTCGGACTTCAGGCCGGCACCGCACCACAAACAACAAACATTCGGCTAACACCAACTCCTCACCACCAGACAGACCTCGCCATTGTGACTGCCGATAGGCTTACGGCCGATGGCCGACCTCACACCCTCACTGCCGGGCTGAAAAAAGCCACCATAGCCAATCTCCGCCGGTGCCGACCTCCGTCATCCCCGTTATCCTCGACTTCAACTCGCAGTCGAGCCTCCGGTCCGTAGCTGGAGACCGGTTTCGGCAAACCATCGCCGATCTCCAAATTCATAATCGCCAAGGCCAACCTCGCCTCGCCAGAACCCCGACATCCTGAACCGCCAATGTCACTGCCGAGCAACACAGCTCGGCCCAGGTTCCCGACAGTGGCCGATGGCCGACCTCATACCTGCTGGACTCTGAGCCGATGCACCGCCGCAGTTCGGACATCAAATCGGGTGGTGCCGACCTCACCAACCCAAAACCCCATGTCGTAAGGTCCGACCTCACAACAGTCGGGCCGACCTCGCAAACCAACGCTGACATCAGCCCGAGAGCCGGAGAGCCGACCTCGTCACTTCAGGCTGACTTCACACCACGACCGTCGACACTGCAATTGCAACCGTCGGCCCAACCTCGCGAGCCGACGCTGAACCTCAACCCAGGACCCGTATCAAACCGTCTAGCCGACCTCGCAAGCCGATTTCGCCGGGCCAAAAACAATTCGGGCTTCAAGTCGAACGCCGAGCTTCAATCTAGCCTCGACCAACCTTAATCGCAACTGCCGGGGCCGACCTCACAGTCGCCGGATCGGCCCCGAAACTGCGTCAACCTCGCTCCTCAGTCACCAACTGGGCCTCCAAATGGTAGGCACCATAGAAACCGCCTCAATCTAGCCTCGACCAACCGTAATCGCAACTGTCGGGGCCGACCTCACAGTTGCCGGATCGGCCCCGAAACTGCGTCAACCTCGCTCCTCAGTCACCAACTGGGCCTCCAAATGGTAGGCACCATAGAAACCGCCTCACAGACGGAAAAGCCGACCTAACAAAGGCCACCCTCAGACCCGGAAGCCGAACCGCTGCCACCGCAGAATGGACCCCGTCGTCAAACTCGGACACCGAGCCACCGCCGCCGTCCTCAGATCTCCGATGCCGAGCTCGCCCCCAAACACCGAGCACCCCGAATCACCGCCGCCGTCGGGCCCTCAAAAGACGACATCGTCGCTGCCATCCTCGGATCCAAACCCGGATGCCTAGCTAGTCGCAACCATCCTCAGATCCGACTTTCCGACGCCGACCTCAGAAGTCGAACCGTCGGCCTCCGTCACCAAAGAGCGGGCCTCCACTTTTCTCCGAACTCGTCTATCACAAATCAAGGCCGAAAAATTGTCCCATCACTGCTGCCAGTCGGCACAGTTTGAGCGTATTCTGCGGATCACAAATCTCGGCCAAATTATTGAGCGGCACGCCAAGAGATGGGTTTCTGGCCATATTCTGCGGATGAGTATAGGTAAGTAATCTTATCCTTGATTTAATAACTAAAAAAGCAAATATATAAATCAGCTTCCCCTAATAGCACTGACATATACGAATAAATACATATAATATGTATGCACTCCACAAATATGTGTACTGCACTTATGTATATATATGTACTGCATGTGTACTATGCATTTAATTAATAAGTTGTAACTAGTATAAGTTTCATTAACCATGTACATATAATAAGTCACACATATAACTGTTTGCATATAGATACATTGTGATAATAATCATATATGTATATATAATAAGTAACGCATATATGTATTATATACATGTGTATTATATATATATATACATAAATAATAAATAAACGCATATATACATATGTGAATAAAAATATATACCGAACCTCATTTGTGAAAATCGAACCGAAACGGGAAGGATTGGGGGAAGGTGGTCGGCTGCAAGCCTTCAGGATAGTCACGGCCGTTCCTCTAACACTTCTCAGTCTCGGAAAGTCACGAGACCATCAAGTCGTGACGATTGTTACTTCTCCAGCCGTTGAGCCCTTGCTCCAGCGAGGCCGATGTCCCCATCCAGTTTAGCGACGAGCCCCTGCTCTGCTGGGCTGACGTCGTTACTTCGCCCACCGTTGAGCCCTTGCTCCGGCAAGGCCGATGTCCCCATCCAGTCCAGCGACGATCCCCTGCTTTGCCGAGCTGACGTCGTTAAATCGCCCGTCGTTGAGCCCTTGCTCCGGCCGGGCCGATGTCATTATTCAGTCCAGCGACGAGCCCCTGCTCTGCCGGGCTGACGTCGTTACTTCGCCCGCCATTGAGCCCTCCGGCTAGGCCGACGTTTCCATCCAGTCCGGCGACGAGCCTCTGCTCTGCCTGGCTAACGTTGTTACATTGCCCGTCGTTGAGCCCTTGCTCTGGCCGGACCGATGTCATTATCCAGTCCGGCGATGAGCCCTTGCTCTGTCGGGCTGACGGTTACATCACCCGTCCTTGAGCCCTTGTTCCGGCCGGGCCGATGTCATTATCCAGTCCAGCGGTGAGCCCCTGCTCCGCTGGGCTGACGTCGTTACTTCACCCGCTGTTGAGCCCTCGCTCCGGCTAGGCCGACGTTTCCATTCAGTTTGGCGACGAGCCTCTGCTCTGCCTGGCTGACGTCGTTACTTCGCCCGCCGTTGAGCCCTTGCTCCGTCCGGGCCGACATTTCCATCCAGTCCGGCGATGAGCCCCTGCTCTTCCGGGCTGACGTCTCTACCTTACTCGCCGTTGAGCCCCAGCTCCGGCCTGACCGACATCTCCACTTATCCCGGCGACGAGCCCCTGCTCTGCCGGGTTGACCTCTCCACTTATCCCGACGACGAGCCCCTGCTCTGCCGGGTCGACGTCTCCACTTATCCCGGCGACGAGCCCCTGCTCTGCCGGGCCAACGTTGTTACTTCTACCGTTGCCAGACCTGCACTTCGGCCAGGTCGGCACCTACATCTTCACTACGCCCGCCAGCGAGCCCCTGCTCTGCTGGGCCAACGTTACTACTTTTGCTTCCGCCGAACCTGCGCTTCGGCACCTACACATCGCCCGCCAACGAGCCCTGCTCTGCCGGGCCAACGTTACCACTTCTACTACTGCCGAACCTGCTCTTCGGCCAGGTCGGCACCTACATCTCGCCCGCCGACGAGCCCCTGCTTTGTTGGACCAACGTAATTATTACTCCTACTGCCGTCTTGCCTTCGCTTCGGCCAAATTAATATCTTTATCTCTCCCGCCGACGAGCCTTAGCTCCACCAGGCCTATCGACACTTCGCCGGCGCGACGAGTTTCTGAGAGTAAGCCTCAACTTCGCAGACGAGAACCATGAGTCGAGCCCAGAAACGCCGCATGTAACAGACGAAACGAGAGATACGCCAAATCCCAAATCAAACCACTCTCATATCAAATAAACGACGTCCTCCTACACGGGGCCTACCAACTTGAACACTTGGATGGCACGCACCCATCAATACCCATAAAACTCGGCGTTTCTGAAGAAGTCCTACCAATAGGTGTAGGCTATTCTCACTCAGTAAGTGACGTTATTGTGTAGATTATTCGATGAGTGAGGTCAAGAATGTAATTTACCTTTTGCTTTTAGATGCTAGGTCGTCTTAGGCTTAGATCGAGTCGAAACGGCGTAATTAACGTAAGAAACCAAGTGCGGGTCGGGATCAGTACGATGACCCGACCGCCACTAGCCGGGCTCAACTAGGAAGCCCGGTCAAGCCAATAATACCACCGAGTCCGAACGCGAGACCAGTCAGGTAAGCTGCCACGTAATTATGTGCAGGTCGGGTCAGTACGATGGCCTGGCCGGCACGAGCCGGGCTCAGCAAAGTAGCCCCGTAAGGCCAAAGTCGCCAATGTAAGAAATGAATAATGAGCTCAAACGCGAAGCTCAGCAACGCCAGACCGTCGCCCGATTCAACGGGCAAGTCGGACAGGTTATGCGCCAGAGTAATAATAAATGTCAAGCCGGACACGAGGCTCGGCCAAGTGATAAATTCGTGCAGGTCGGGTTCAGTACGATGGCCCGGCCGGCACAAGTCGGGCTCAGCCACGTAGCCCGGTCAGGCCACAGTCGCCAACGTAAAAAAGGTAATAAATAAGTGCCGAGCTCGATCATGAAGCTCAGCCAGGCCAGACCATCACTCGACCCAACGAGCAGATTGGATGGGTAATGCGCCATCGTAATCATTAGGGCAATAAATTGCACAAGTCGGGCTCGACAAAGGGGCCCAATTAGGCCGAAATGCCGTAAAACTAAAGGCGTACGAGCCATTAGGCCGAGATGCCATACAACTAAAGGCCTACGCGCCATTAGGCCGAAATGCCGTAAAACTAAAGGCGTACACGCCATTAGGCCGAAATGCCATAAAACTAAAGGCCTACGAGCCGTGAGGCCGAAGTGCCCTAAAACTAAAAACCGAACTCCAAAAACAGTTCGGTCCCAACAAAATATGCGACAAGGTGCATACATTCATCACATACATTCATGCATTCATCATATGATCACATCATGCATACCATCTCGTAAGAAACACAGAGCTCAATGTGAGTTGTTGATTGTGTTTTAGTTTTCTGGGTGTGATAGCTGCCTGTGGATTTTATTATCATTTGATTTGATGTTTTTGAAATGAAATTGATTGGATAAATTTCTGAGGTGCAGCATATCGATGATGGTCTGGATAATAATCCAAACCTGCCATGGGAATTCACCGATTTGAACAAGGAAAAGGTTAGTTGTGATAAGCATTTTCAGCTAATTGAAAGCTCTAGTTTGTTTTATTTGAAATTGTAATCCACTAAATGTGCTATTTACTGATCTTTAGCTACTGTAAGGGAGGATTGGGGTTTGCTTTGTTGGCTTGTGAATTGTAGCTATCCTTGTTTGTTTCGACATATTTTTCTGTGTTGCGATCATTGGCGATGTTCATGGTTTGAAATAGTTTATTTTCATGTCCAGAAGTAAACTAGGTGCAATCATTTTTAATGAGTATGGCTATATTATTTACCGTGATATGATTTGAATGTCTGGCCGACTCTCACTCCACGGTTGAAGCAAGTAGGATGATCTCTATTTTGTTTTAGTTATGATCCTTACCTTCTCTTTGTGATATGTTCTTATTTGAAATTGTTTGATCCATTTGAAAAAAAAAAAAAAGTTTCAACTCTCTAGATAGTTTAACTNGGGGGGAGGAGGTGTTGTCTTCTATTCCTTCTTCGGAAGTTTATAACAGAGACTAATCTACGTTTTGGGTTGTTTAAGCATGTAAACTGTGAGAAACCTCTCTGGTTCTATTATATCCTAACATACTACAGAAATATGGATCTGTTTGTATCAGTAAGTCTGATGTTAGAAAGTTAATTTTCTACGATTATTGTGTTGCCTGTTAGAATGCTTGTAGGTACAGTGTTCGCTTCCTGTTGTCTCCGAATGACTAATATCTGAACATGGTCCATAAATTGACATTCTCAACACTTTTAATGAGAGATTGGCAGTGAAGTTGCTAGTACATGGCTTTTCAGTGTTCTCTATAAGCAATAGATCAAGGTGTGAGATGGCCAAATAAATTTGTTGTATGGAATCAAACAGAATGATTCTCTCGTTATATCTTATTAAAACTTTGAATTATAAATAATCTGAAATTTTTTGCACTTTGTGGTAGGCTAAGGAGATATTATCACACTATCCATCCAACTATAAACAATCTGCTGTCATTCCTTTGCTCGATCTTGCACAACAGCGGAATGGAGGCTGGCTTCCCGTTTCAGCAATGAATCATGTATGTTAATTTCATCTTTTAATATTGTTTTGTATTGAATACATTTTTTAATGTGTATAAGTCTGTGTAGGATAGCACCCATAGAGATCAGTTGCGAAAGCTTGAATAAGAGAGCTCCCATGCTTGACACTTGTCTAGTTAAGCTGCAAATTCATTTTTTTTTTTAAATTTAATTTTGGGATATCCTTTTAAGAAATTGTCAATGATTCGTGCACACTGATAAAAGCTCAATAACCTGTTACTTTGAAAGACTAAAGATGACCTCCATGAGTAATAGCAACTTTTTGCTTATATACTAAATTGTAAACCATTGTTGCAGAAAGAATGAAAAAATTTATAAAAGAAGTGCTCAACAAATATTTTGTGAATCTCATCCCGGTGATTCTGGCTTTTTGCTTCATCAATATGGACATAGTAACTGCATTTCAGTAAAAAGATTCTTTCAGAACAAAACCAAAATCAATTTGGTAATTTGTTTCTTCCTAGAAGCTGAGAGAGCTGACTTTTGTACACTTGTTCCGAGAGAAAATCTCTGAAATTGCTCCAGTGAGACAGTTTTGTTTGCCACCTTAGGTCTGCCACGTACATTATTGTAGAACATTGCTCACTATATAACATGCATTTAAATTGCCTTGTCCCCTAAGCATCTTGTGTACTTCATGTTCCACTTAAGGTTGATATGTTCACTTGTTAGTGTGCCAGTTTAACTCAACCTTATCAGAGAAGAAACTAGTGTTTTTCACTGCACAATTGAATCAGTCATCTTATGAAACTCTTTCATTTGTCTACTAAAATATATTGGCTGTGTGAAGTCTAATGATTGGTCTCATGACTTACAGGATATTCTGTCTCTTACTTGATGCTTTAATATATAGTTATTAATTTGATTATCTTATAAAAAATATTTAATCAAGCTGTTTGTTGTTGTTTCTACCCGATAATCGTGCATTTTTTTTCTAATTTATTATAGGTTGCTAAAGTCATTGAAGTTGCTCCGATTCGTGTATATGAGGTGGCAACCTTTTATTCGATGTTCAACCGAACAAAGGTAGTTATTCACTTATTCTGCATTGCGTTTTTTGTTACACATTAGACATGTTCTTTTCTTTCTTCTTTGTTTTTCCTCATTAATTTAAGCTAATTGATGGAAATTAAAGGTTGAAAAATACCATCTTTTGGTATGCGGTACAACTCCTTGCATGATACGTGGTTCAAGAGAAATTGAAGAAGCATTGCTGAACCACTTGGGAGTAATGCGCAATGGTACGAATCTTGTTTGATATTTGTGTTAAATGGGTTGTTCTGGTTTGGAAGAAATAGAAGTGAAGAGAACCTGTTATGTTTCATTTTGCAGAAGTTACTAAGGATGGCTTGTTTTCTGTTGGAGAAATGGAGTGTATGGTGAGTCTTCCCCTGAGAGTATCTTTCTGTAAGAATTTCCTTCACTTTTTTTCAGTCTTTACACCTCTACTACTATTCTCAGTGAGCTGCTAATGGATAGTAAGGAATTTTTTATGCAGAACGTGATACGAACGGGAAAAGTATGAGATACTTTCTCACAAAAGCTCACAACGCAGAAATATTATTCATCCAAACTGTCTCGTTCTGTTTTCCCAAGCCAGATAAAAGTAACAAGGGTCCTAACATATCTTAACTACCAAGATAATTATTTATCTACTAATTAAATATCTAAGGAAATAAAATGCACTATGAGAAAAATAAAATAAGAAATAAACTAGACCCAGAGCCGATCGTATTTGTTCAGAAAAGCTATTGCGAGCTTGTCTCCATCATCCTCCCCCGGTTGAGAAGGATTCGCCATCGAATTCAAACCGAGCTCGTCTCCGTCGGAGTCGCCGAGCTGCAAAGGGGCCAACTGCGTCACATGGGAAACATCCGGCGAACACATATGCGATGGCAAACAGAGACGGTAGGCATCCGGACTAAAGTGTTCGACAATCTCGTAGGGGCCGAACCGACCGTCTGTTGTGGAAACAACCCACGCAAAGTCGCCCACATCAAACACCATCGAACGGTCGACCAACGAACCGAACAACTCCTCACATGCCTCTACGCGAAAAGGGAATAAAGACGTCGACGGCGGTGGCCAAGGAACCGAACAGGGGGCCGAGGGATGTAAAACAAAGCAGGTGCCCTCAAACAAGAACACATACGTGTTAACGCGCCCATTATGCAACACGGCGCGATCAAATTGCCAAGGACACCCTAAGAGAAGGTGCCAATCATCCATCGTCACGACATCACACCACACCTCATCGAACCAATAGAGAAAGACTCCAACACTCGTCGGTCAACAGGGACAGCGTTGTCACGTTGTATCCATGCGAGAGCATAAGGATCTGGATGCTGCTCCATTGACAACCCAAGCTTCGCTATAGCCTCAGTAGAGATCACATTTTCGCAGGACTCAGAATCAATAACAAAACAACACACCCGACCGCCTATGGTGCACGTAGATTCGAAAAGTTTTCGACCCTGGCCCTCATCAATGGGCTCGATGTGCGGTGACAAGAGAGACCATCGAAGGACAAGCGCATGTCTTACGTCCCCCGAGACATGCACCTCAAGAACCTCCAGCTCCTTGTCAAAAATAGGAGGGACATCATATACTGCGGCTGCCGAATATTCCGTTGTTTCCTCGGCGAACAAAGCACGTGACCCGGCCCCTTTTGGACAAGCTGCCTGCCGATGGCCAAGCTCACCGCACCCAAAGCATCAAATCCCTCCACCGGATGCCGGAGTACGACCGGCGGCTGTGCCGAGGCCAAAACCGCCACTCGCCGTTGGTCCCGAACGTGACACTTGCGGGCCTGTTCCCACTATCGCTCCCGGACGTGAAGATGAAGTCCCGGTCTGTCCCGCTTTCTGCCCCAACTGAATCTCAACGAGGGCTCGTTGGTGAGCATCCGACACCGAATCCGGTCGAAACATATTCAACATATCGCGAATCCCCGTACGTAACCCTCCTACATACCGAGAAACTAGTTGATTTTTCGTCTCACGTAAGTCGACACGAGTCAAAAGCCGATGGAACTCCGTCGTATACTCATTTACCGAGCTTGTCTCTTGACGTAGATTTTGCTGCTGATAAACAAGGCTATCGTAATTGTAAGGAACAAACTCACGCTCTACATACTCTCGGAATTTCATCCACGATGATATTGGCGGTTTCCCTTGACGATGCCGCAAGCTGGTGAGTTGCATCCACCATACTGCCGCTCGACCCCGAAAACGTGTGGCGACTAAAGCGACACGCCTCCCTTCCGGGGCCTCCTTAAAAGCGAGGGCGGCCTCAACTGAAGCCCACCAATCGATAAATTCTTATCTGTCCACTCCGCCATCAAACTCGGGAATACCAACACGTAACCCTTGCTCCCAACGTGAGTCATCGCCCCTTCCATCGGGCGCCTGCTGTCACGTCGGTGCGGTACCCCTCTCTCGTAACCGTCTCAATCACGAAACTCAGCCCGCTCTTGTCGGTCGAAGTCTCGATCATCCTCGCCGCGGTAACGGGGCCTGCCACCACCAAACCTTAGCTCCTCGGGTCCCCACTCGCCATCATCGTCTGCGTCAGTGCGGGCCCTTGCAAACCGTCCCTCACGGTGTCTGAACCCGCCGCCGCCGAAGCCACGTGGACCACGACCACTGTCGCCGTCCCCCTGCCCGAAGACGTCGTCACCCGCCGGGGGCCGTCGTTGTACTCCAGCGAACGGGTTGACCTCGCTGACGGTGTCGTCATCGTCCTCGTCGCCGGACGGAGTCCCCGGTGAACTCTGGCGGGGCGCCCCGCCATAGACGCGTCCCCCACGACCTCCGCGAAAAGGTCCGTAAATCGGTCGTCCATCCCCTGGAATCGCTCTTCCATTCGCTGGAAACGATCGTCGACAACGTTATCTCTCTTTGGCGGCATCGTGGATCGTCGCTGGTCTCTGGATACCAACTGATGTAGAACGTGATACGAACGGGAAAAGTATGAGATACTCTCTCACAAAAGCTCACCAAGCAGAAATATTATTCATCCAAACTGTCTCGTTATGTTTCCCCAAGATAAAAGTAACAAAAGTCCTAACATATCTTGACTACCAAGATAATTATTTATCTACTAATTAAATATTTAAAGAAATAAAATGCACTAAAAGAAAAATAAAATAAGAAATAAATAAACTAGACCCGGAGCCAATCGTATTTGTTCAGAAAAGCTATTTCGAGCTCGTCTCCATCAATTTTGTTGTTGTAATACCAGTAGATATCATTTTGCAATAATGCTTGTTGGACTCGAATTGTGTTTTAGCTATATATTCCAAACGACAAGTTCTTTCCTTAGGCCTAAATTTTGAGAATTGATTGTGAAAAACTTNTCCACAAGTAGTTGTAAATTATTTTTTCCTTAGGCCTAAATTTTGAGAATTGATTATGAAAAACTTAGATTCGAGTCATATGCAATAAAGTATCGTATGCATTTTTCTCTTAGATGGTAATAATGGGATGAGAATGTTCTGCTGCACAGTACTCGGCTTATTGCTAATTTGCTACTAATGATTCATCAGGATATTTGAACTGCAATATGAGATTCATCTTTCTACTTTTTCCCTATTTCCTTATATTTCAAGCTCACTGGTTCCCAAAATTTCGAAGTCTGTTTATTTTGAATTCCAGAAATAATGATGTGATTTATTGTTGTTTTTCTCATAGGGATGTTGCGTAAATTCTCCAATGATCACAGTTGATGACTACTCGAATGGATCCGAGGGTTACACCTATATTTATTACGTGAGTTCCATATTTTTTCAAATTTCTCAACAAACTAATCGTTTCATCTTGTTATGCCGTTAAATAATAACAAAATCAAACGGTCCTCTTTCGAATATCTTAGGAAGATGTCACTCCAAAACGAGTTGTTGAGATTGTCGAGGCTTTGAGGAGAGGGGAAAAGCCACCGGTAAGACAATTTTTGCTGGTACTTCGACTGTTCTGTTTTATCTAGTCATTCTTTTTATTATCATACATTTTTTTTTCTTTTTCTTTTTTCTTTGTTATATTTAACAGCGTGACATCAATTCTGGGCGAGAAGGTGGGAACACTACATTGTTGGGTGAGCCCAAGGCTCCTCCATGTCGAGATCTTGATGCCTACTGAACACCGTAATTCCCTTACAATCTATAGTTGTCCCTAATAATGGTGAAAAAACTTGTTTGTAAACCATGGATAACTCGAACAATTTTCATTTTTTTTTTTTTTTCGTTTTATGTTCTTTGGCTCTAACATGAATGATATTGTTGAACTTTGAGCTGAGTTGGTTGATTTTGCATCTGGACATTAATCTTGTGTCCATCACATTAAAGTCTTGAATGCATTGTAATTTGCAAATTCTAGCTTGTGTAATTGGTACAATTTCGTATTGGTTTGAATCCACGATTACATTCGCCAATAAGGTACTTTTGAATGTAAATTGCTATGAGAGTGAGTAAGAAACAGCGCAAAAGCGGGTTAAACCCTTTTGTCTTTCAAAAATGGTCCGATGTAGAAAATGAGTCTGTTGTTAATCCAAACATTTGCTTCTCTATCATTTATTTGTTTTTATTATTTACTTGTAAGCTTTTATATATATATATATATATATATATATATATATATATATATATATACTTTTTGGATATCCTTCGTTTAAATTATTTGAGTGAATAGTCATTTAAACTATTGTCCACGAATTATTTAACTAAACTTTTGATGGAAAATGTTTATATTTGTTATTCAAAGTCGGTCAATATTTCGTTTCAATACCCAAAGTTTGAGAAATGCATCACATTACTCTGCTGCGATTTCACGTTCAAAACTAAAGTATTTAGTTTGAAACATTTCTCAAACTTTGGATAAAAAATTGGCGTACTTTCTCGAATTTTGGGTACTGTGAGAATCCACTCTGGTTGTAAAATATAGTGTTATTATGATACCAAATGTGAAATCAAGACTTGAATATACAGTACAAGAGGATGTGAATTTTGCTACTGAAACACTATAAAAAGTTAAAAACCTGGTGAAGTTTTTCAACCTTTAAGCCACACGGGGTTTTTGATACGTAGAGAAGTTTCCATTACGATTACTTGGCCCTTGGTCAAATTTCATGTCGTGAAAATCTTAATGGGAGATATATTGAAGCATTGAAAAAGAAGTGGCCGGAATATATTGCCAATTGAAGACTAAATCATTTTCACGATTGGCAAGAGTTGGAACTTAGACTTAGTGGGCCACTATTGATGTCAAAATCAAGAGCAGAACTAATGTTACAAGGTTAATGGAAAATGAATAATCTATGCTCAAGTAACAAATACTTTGATTTTTAAATTATTTGAATTATAATTGTACTTCTAAAAAAACTATTTCATAGTTTAATTTTAGTTAATAACCTAATTCAGCTCTTGTATAAAGTTACAGGATCAGATATGTGCCAACCATCAGATATGTATCAATCAGTTCAACACTTTTATAAAGAATGAAAGGTACCACTTGAATTACAAGCTCGTGGTATCTAATTAAGCTAAAGTAGAAGCTATGGAAGCTCAAATTATGCTAGCTTCTAACATATACAATGCCCACTTCATGAGAATGCAACAAAAAAGCAATTTTGGCCGAGTCTAAAGACAATGAATTGCATTTTTGGTGGTGCTGTATAAATGTGAAATACTTGGTCGTACAAGTACTGTGGAGAAATTTTGAAAGTAGTTACGTAAAGCTAGGTATATTGAAGCAGTTCCACTGGCATTCAATTAATTCATACTTTTTATAAGACCAATTTTGACCAATCACCCGAAAAAATTAATGGGATTTGTGGTGTCAATTTCCAGGGCAAAATTTGGATTTCCGTTCGACATTGTCCTCCAATTGATCAATTTCAACAATTATGAGAAATTATTGATTAACTGGATTCGAATGCGACTGCTTTTGGTACATTCAAATTTCCGAAACTGCTTTTGAAATTTCATCAAGTATATTATGTGTGTGGGTGTGTATATATATAGAGAGAGNGCATAAGTATATACACACACACACATGGACATGGGAAGAGAAAAACCTATCTTTGTTTGTTCAATTCGTTATTTGGTCTTGAGCCTGAGAAAAAAAGCCCTTTGCATTCCTCGCCACATCTTCCTCAAGTACTGCCTCCAACAATATGTCCGAACCCCTCAGCTCACCTGAAGCAAAAAATAAAAAATAATGAAAAAAAATTTGGCTAATTTAGTTCTTCAAGAACCATGAAAAAGGCAAGTGAATACATTTTTTCAACACAGGTCCATTGGAGTCTGAAAAATGTGGAATTAGGAAAGGATAATAGAATTTTAGGCATGTTTTCTCACCTTTATTACTGGGCAACAATTTCGCACTTTCAGCTGATATAGGAAGAACAACAAACTGACCGGATTCATCCTTCAGCTCATTTAGAACTTCATCCATGGACTTTCCAGCTAATGGTGATTCAGCAGCCAATCTTTCATATGCGGTGGCTTGGCTATGTATCTCGGACAGTACTGGGCTCGGTAAACTGTGATCCTTAGGAAAACGTGAAATTCGCTAAAGATACAGTAAAATCTTTACATTGAAACTAGTATTTTGGTACTTTATAATTCCTTTTTTTTACCTACCTCGGCCATGCGACTAGTCTCTTTGATCTCAATTTTCTCTGCAAGATCTTCAGGAGGTTTTGAAGATCCATTATCCACTATAATACAGCCATGAATAAAACACCTCTGTAATCAAGGATGATTTCTCTATTGTTTTTAAATACAAACAAGAAACTTTAACAAAGATAGATACCATTCGTTACGGGAGGTTGTCCAGCAATGTTATCGACTAGCCTTGTTGTCAAAGGACCAGGATTCATGAACGAAATGGACCGAATTTCATGACGTATGGCTTCTAATTGGGCCATTGTGTCTTGCAGTTCTTTATGAACCTGTCACATTATCACTAATGCTGATTTATTCAAAGAGCATTCATGTCAAACGAGTAAATACATATCAACACGAGTGTTATTCTGTCGTTTTTCACAAGGATATACAGGAAAGTTAAAATCAAAAGAATATAAAAAAACATCATCTTGAACACCTAAATCAAGAAGCAAAAGCTAATTAATCGCAGCACAAAACATCAATTTCATCACAAACACTCAAACAGCCACGTCGCCGATCAGATTAGGGCAAATGGCTAATAGGAAAATCATACACACAAAAAAACTAAATAAAACAATAAACCTGGCGAGCTTGAGATTGCTGCATAACGCTTTCGAATTGGCCACGCGTCACCTGAACATATCCAATTGCTCGACCAGCTAATCTCCCAGCTGTTCTAGCTATAACAGGAAGATCCTTTGGACCTAATTTTACAGTAATATGTCCAATTATCAGATTTTCGCACACAACCACAGATCAAATAAATTTTTGAGCATAAATGCAAATCCGCTCATCATTAGCAGACAAACCTAGAATACGAACACGAAATCCAAAAACAAAATGGCGCAAACAAGCAACGAGATCACATTTGTAGAAAAAATACTGAAAGCGGTACCGATGAGAGCAGCCGCAGCTCCTAAGATGAGGAAGAGTTCTCCATATGAAATCCCGAGCATCCTTCGCCGGAGAAGTTAATCTTTGATTGGGTGCACTGCACTTCTTTGATAGATTGAATGTAGGGAAAACTGATTTTTGTTCGAATAGGCAGAAGTTATTGATTTAAATCCCTCCTCTTATATAACGCAGAGTTCCCCTAGTTGTGTAAATTGTGTTGTCTTTTGTATTACAACGATTTTATAGGGGTTTTTTATTTTATATGTACCTTTTTTTTTTTAATTTGAAAATGCTTCTTAGCACTTTAATATTATAAAATATTTGTATAACTTAACCTATAAATATATTTTAAATTTTAAAAAAATTGAATTTGATCAACTATATATATATATATAATATCAAAATAATAAAAACTTTAACGATATCGACATTTACAAGCTGAGTTTTATGGGTGTATTGTATTATTTTAAATATAAATAATAATATAAATTTTTTGAAAAGTATTTAAATTTTCAAAATAAGATATCTTATTTATAGATTTAAATTTTTTTAAACAAATTTCTTAATCAACACCCGTAATGCACATGTTATTGTAAATTTAAAATAATAAAATTCATAGCACATACTATATAATATACTTTAATTTATTTTCTCTTAAATTTCACTATTATAACTGAAAATTTGAGCGCTTGGAGGTTATCAATCAACGTGCCAGAACCGTGACTTTTGCTCCTTTCTCTTTTTTGTTTCAATCTCTTCCTTTTGTTTCGAGCCGTTTTTGTGTTTCTCTTACCATTGGTTCTCTTGGGTTTCATCTCTAGCTTACCCCGACTTGTTTTGGACTAAAGGCTATGTTGTTGTTGTTATTTTCTCTAAAATTTTACTATTATAATTAAAATTTTAAATAAAATAAAATATCATTTTATATTTTGTAGAAATAACATATTTTTATATATTTTTAAATATTATCCAACCACTCACTGATCATTTAATTTGACATTTCCATTTACATTTACATTCCTACCTTATGTCCATTCATTATTTCAAATTTATTTCAATTCTTCTAGAAAACTACTTTTCAAGATCCACAACATGTAAAACAGGTAATCTATCAATCTATGCGCTTTGTCAGAAATTGAGACCTTCTATTAATTTCTTACAGCTCCAAATTGAAGACCAAACCAACCGCCATATCCAAACAAGAACACATATAGCAAATTTTTTTCCAAAGAAAATTCACACTTGCAAAAAAAAAAATAAAACAATTACTATAAATATAACAAGCAGCCAATGATCATAATCCACTGTCTCAGCTCTTAACATTCAAACACAAATACTGCACTTATTCAATATGTATGCTCAAACAAATAATATCTTCTGTACTTGAGATCCCAAAAACCAAAGGATCGTGCGAACGGAGCTTAAAAAACGAGGCCAGAGAAAGTCTAAGACGTGAGCTTTCTCGAACAATCACTCAACGCCTTCCGGAAGCTACCGATTCTGTCGAAAAAAGGTATTTCACCCTCGAAAGAACAGAGTCGTGTGCAGGATCATAAGGATGGTCCTTTGATGGGATCTCCAAGATTGCAGGGATTGGCTTGTTATAGCTATCGACAAGAAACCGTATCATATTTGCAACCTGAATTAAATAAACAATGCAAAAGAGTTAATTGATTTCAACGAGGTATGGTCCATATTTATCGTACATACAATTAAGGGATACCTTAAATTTTGGAAAAAGTTAATGATAAAAAATGGCAAACAAAATTGTTATATTTCAGAAATGCGAAAACAGAGGAGGCTGATCTCACAAAAAAACTTATTATCATGAGAAATTATTAAACCCTTGAGAAAAAACTGATCTCACAAAAGAAAAAAAGGTGAAAACTTACAAATTGGCTGATGAGCAAGACTGCAATGTCTTCTCTTGTTGTGAATTCTTTGAAGGCATCTTCAATCTGCTTCACCGTGGTTTCTAAAAATCAAAAAACAGGAAATTTAAATGAGCCAGAGGCAACAAATTGCATTATCTCAATACCCGATCACTTTAATCACCAGATAATTTTCACGATAGATTCAATGAAAGCGAACTAAATCTCGTCCGGTCCATTTTCTGGATCTAAAGTAGGATTCAAGTGGCCAGCATAAAAAAATTGTGCCTGATAAAAGCAAAATTACTTCCAACATAAATGTATGACCACCAAATTATCAAATAGCAACAAGATCGTAGTTTTGTGTTCCACAAGCCTCTACCCTCAAAAGGTTAAAACTTGTAAGTCTCCAAATTTTAGACCATTTCATGTACATGTAATTCTCCAATTTATGTTCTAACATATGAAATGGGAGTTTTTACAAATTTATGCTCTAACATATGAAACAGATGAGTTCAAGAAATAGGGGTATTTCGTACTTGAGTCAACAATGAGATAATTTGTTTTCCTCCTCAAATCAACATTACCAACTCCAGCTAGCAAAAATCCAGTGATAGTGTCCTACACGAATATTTGCATCGTTAGTGAAAATAGAAATACACCGTGGGCCAAACAAGAAAAGCCACTAATACAAATTATTATTACCGATTTCATTTCAAGTTAATCGTTCATATTGATAAATATTAAATACATTCCTCTGCATAGGAACTTTTCTTTTCTTCAAAAAGGTACACACAAAATTGTGCTCTTGCTACAGAATTCAATCTATAATCACCCATCTACCTGATCTCTTCTAATAAGAACTTTAAATAACTAAAATCATAAAAAAAAAAAACAAACAAAAAATATAATAGCGATTAAAGTTAAACAGAAAAGTAAATCCACAATCATATAGAGCGTGACAAAATGGAGGGAAAAAACGTAATAAGACACCTCATCAGCAATCATGGCTATGAGCGATGAGTTGCTTGTGCGGATCTGTGGTTTGTTCGCCATTGATGAAATAAACTTCAATAACCAATAATCTGCTAAATATGATGAAACAAAGCAATAAACATATCAAATCATACTCATTCGCAGCTGAAATCCACAATGCAGCATTAACGAAAAATTTAATCTAAAATTAATTAGACTTTGGCAAAAATCTCAAAATTTGGGAAATTAACACCTCACCTTCAGAAGATGATGTTATTGAGTTTGGTCGATAAGGGGAAGACTGTCTCAAATCTGAAAACCCTAATTAAACAATCACTCCGTAAGGAATTTAGGTAATTCTTAACTTCAAGTGGGTCAATTGAAGAAGAAAGTTTGGGGATCTATGGTTCTCACTAATCGTACGGATGAAAACAAATCAATGTTTTTCAAATTCGGTCTGTGACCGATTCAACACATTATTTGGTCAATTGTAAAATTGAATAATTAATTTTAATTTTAAAACTACATATATATATATATATATATATATTATAAATGCCAATTGTAAAATCGAATAGTAATTTTTAATATATATGTTATTTTCTTATAAATGTCAATAGAAATAAATAATTTGTACTTTATATTTTTATCTTAATATTTTTATTTATCATCATAAGTGTTACCACATAAACATATACAATATTTATGTATATAAATATTTATCATCATAAATATTACCACATCCATTTACTTTTATAGCACTAGCATGTCTTCATAAGCAAATTAAAAGAAAAAAAATACTTGTATTACTCATTTTTCTAATTTTCTCATTCTTTGTAAGAATATTCAACTCTATTGCAAAACCTTGCCTATGTAGTGAAATCAAAACTGTACTAAGATACTATAGAGTGTATACAGTGGNACATAGATCAAACTTTAGAGTCACCAAATTCAATCCCCAACAAGTCAAAGTTTCGTTTCGAAAAAATTATGTGACGAGATGATAACTCGTCAAGTTCCGTATGAATAGTTTTCGTATCAATAACGAGTCTGCATGGCACGACACTGTAGTTTTCCCCAATCACTAGAGAAGAATTATTATAAAACCTTCTTTGGGTGGAAGATTCAACAAACACAACCTACAAGCCGACAACTTTTTCCCATCTCGTAAAACATTTTCCTCGTTTTTAACCATCATCATAAGGCGATGATTGCGCCCCAACAGTTGTGACACGTAATTCATGTCGCCATCGGAAAGCGCAAGCCGAACTCGAGTGGATGATACTTGGCCTTGCTCGTTAATGGTTCCGTTATGATGACGACCAATCTCCTTGAAAAAATCTTGCTTTTTATCCATGACAGAATCTACTATAGAGGCTTTCATGCCATATTCATCGCACAATTGCACCAAATCAGACGAGTCGCCAGCAGCTTTATACCCGAACCGGTAGTTCTGACCTGTCGTCATATTACATCATTTCAAGTTGATTCTAAACATTAAATTTGAAAAACTAATAATAAAATAAAATATCACATATACCTGCCACAACCCCACCAACTCCAAGCTCGTCCGATAATTTCTCAACAAACTGGCGTGGAGAAAGATATCGAACTTTGGAGAACTCAATATGAAATTCCTTGGGTGTAATGTTAGAACATAGTGGAGCCCAAGATGAGAGTTTTCGTTTACGATCACATTTGGCAACTACAGGAGGCCTGATCATTAGTATTAACACAAATGATAGAATAGGTTTAGAAGCTACTTTATTTCTCTGTTATTTGCAAGTATTGATTAAGAAAAATGTTATTGAGATACTACAATGTCACAAGCAATTGCAGCATGGAAATCTGAAGACAACCTTCATATAAAACCTTTAAGATTAATGTGAATAACATCATCTAAAACTTAGTAGAAAATCCAAAACTAAAAATTTCATTACGAAACATTCTTATTTACTTTAGATGATTTGGTTAAACGCAATCTATTCATCTAAATTGTTGAGAACTAATGTTATCATCATTCATGTAATATAACAAAAAGAAATCTGGCTATATAAGGAATTAAAGCTATGCCCTTTACTTGACAAAGGAAATCATGAAAATATATCAACGAAGATCTGGAACAACAAACCAATCTTATTCTAATTAAAAATGTTGGGAAGTACCATGAAAAATGCACAAAAGGAATTTAATTTTGCTACATGAGTGACATAATAAACAGAGTTGATTATGAATAACACCACGTGGAAGACTTTATAAATCAGGTCAAAGAAGCAGCTGGAGCAGCCTCGAGAATTTATTATGTATACCAGTCCACAATAAAATATTTTAAAATATAATAACCAGAAAAATATCGATACCTGGGTTCCCACCCGAGTATCTCAGCCATTCCAACGAAGGACAATAGAAATGGAACTCCAATCTTTGCAGCTTGAATTGCGAGCTCCCTATGACCAATATGAAGGGCATCAAACTTTCCCAGTGCTACTATTCCTCCTAATATGATGAACATCAAAGAAAATCATCAAATTATGACTAATGGAGATATTGAACATGCTTGTGTGAAATAATAAGTACCTTGGATTGATAAGACATTTCACATTTTGAATGAAGGAAATAGAGGAACACGTAGCATTAACCATAGTGCGATTGAAATAGCAGTTTTTCAAAATTTATATGGTTAAATCCAGCAAAACAAACCTTCCAAGAAATGAGGCAGAACAAAGTCAATGAGCTGTCACCAGGATTTTTTTTTTAAAAAAAAAACTAAGGTGGCTACTTGAAGTGGCGACGAATAAACCATCAGTACATGCAAATTATTCACATACATACAAGAGTACAAGTTTGAAAAGAGTAAAGAGTAACGAAATAGCTCGTGGGCCTAAAGAACCAACCTGCCAAAGATGATATTCCTTGAGATGGACTTCCATCATTTTCAGCTGGGCTACTCGCAGTTCAAGGATAAAGGGAAAAAACAAAGCTTGAGTACTTCAAAATCATGTCAAAAGGCAAAATGCAAGAAATGGCAATGGAATTTCAATCATATTCCTAATAACCATCACAAACAACTTGAGAAGATAGAGTAATATAGTCTCATGTTGGCTAATTGATTGTTTAGGAGTTGAGAAAGCAAGCATTAAAATGAAAGTAGCATAAAATGCTTGTTCAACTTCCACAATTTTTAGCTATCATTCATATGACATAGATTATCCCCAAAACCAAACAAGATATGAAATCTCAAAATTGTTAAAATAATAGAAATAGGAAAAGGAATAAATAGAAAATTACGTCAAACAATCCGAAAGAAGAGGAGGCTGAGATGCATCACTGGGAATGAAAGAGAGTCCAGAGGATTCATCATTACTATTATTGGTAATTGGCAAGGACGACGAAGAAAGCGCCCAGGCACCCAAGAACTTGAATCTTAAAAACCTCATCGTGGAGCAAGGAAATTTTCGAACAGGCGACTGTGGACTTCTCTTCTGATTTCTGTTGTAGGTAAAACTGCACAGCCCCAATTGGCGAGTATAATAATCTTGTAGCTGCTAGCAGTGTTCTATGATTTATGATTGTCTAATGCTTGTTAGGATATTTTGTCTGTTTTTCTTCCAATGTGACAATGTACTAGTTTTTTATGTTTGTTATTTGGTTATCACTAGGAAGAGTTTCAATATATGTATTCATCACATTCCTAGAAAGCTCAATGGTCATTTAGAGGTTTATCTATTCATTTTGAGTAGATTGCTGCATTTTTAGCGAGTTGCATTTCTATAATAAAAATTACAATAGAGTTTGTCCAGGTTGTGGAATTTACCTGTGCAGTTTCTTGTAAATCATTCATCTAACTTATGAATTTCGTGCGACGAAAGAAAAACCAACAGACCCTGTTTTAGGGCTCAATATATATTTTTGGTACTGTCATTCTAAAATATCTATATACTTCGTCTTTTGCAGGCAATGTTTGCTTAACTGGTGATTTCCTACATTCGGTGGTGATTTCTTGTGGTGGTAGGTGATTTATAAACTTGCTTTTAAGTTGTATTACATATGTTATTTTAATTTCCTTCAAGTTATTAGTTGTTTCTGTAGAGTACCTTTACTATTAGTCAATTGAATGGTATTGATGATACTTTGGTCAACTCTAGCCAAGAAAGTAAGTGGTCGTATGGGCAGAAAATACTCTAAAGAAGAAGGTATAAAAATATGGAGCTNTAGTAAAAACCAATTTAGCTAACTACAAATGATACATCTTATTTAATTTAGTATGCGAAAAAAAAAATTATGATTAGAGGTGCAGATTAATTGTTGGTACGTAGGTATCTAGCTCTAGGATAATAATAATATTAATGTTCTTGTTACTAGCCCTAGCATTGAAGAAGTGATGTCCTTCACAGTAGCAACTATACGCTCATGTGAGAATAAGGTTAATTGTACAACCAAATTAATCACTACTTTCAGTTGACTTGTTCATTTTTTTTTTAAATCTCTAAGCATTACTGCATATATTTTATAGAAATTTTCTTTTGTTGTTCATACATATACCATAGCTGATCACAACTTAAGTTTTTGTTTGTAGCATTATGAGCAAATTGCTTTTGGTTGGTGTAAACTCTATTTCTCAACCTTTGTGGTATTTGTAAATTTTGTGCATGCTATAAGATCAAAGGATAGAAAAAAAGTAGTAAAATTCTTTTAATGGCCACAACAATATTTTTCATTCATTCACACAATTTCATACAGTTTGGTAACTCTTTCATAATCAGACATAGATCTAGGCTTAGAAATTGAGGCAAAGTTTCAGATCAATCATCAGCTTCATAGGATGAGAGATACTTACAACTATCCATAAGGGACAAGTTTATGCCATTTTCACTCTTTAAATGGATTTAAATGGATGAAGACATTGTTCAGGAAACTAGGAAACTACCCTAATCAAATAGTCAGATAAAGTAGATGAACATTAGTCCTTTTATTATTTAATTTTTTGCTCACACATCTCCCCTATATTATAATATTGGTTATAAAATGGTGATGATGTTATTCACAAGTCTTTTGTACTTGTATTGGCGTTTGTGCACATGTGCTGTTAATCATCAATCATCATAAAACTAATATGACTTTTAGAATATTTGTCATCATATGATTATTAAACATTTGAGATTATTGATTTTTAATTATTCTTCATTGTATTGTTGGAGTTATAATACAATGTATGCTTTTACATGCTAGCTTCTATGAGTTTGAATATATTATTATCAAGGAGCTTTTAGCATTACCTTAAAAGTTGTACTGGGCTGGCTGTGTTAAACACAATAATTGACTTTTTTTTTTTTCAAAACGATAGAAGATTCATTCTATAGATAAAATATATAATCCGAGAGACTGATTAGTCCCAATTGTACAATACAGACAAGAGGCTCATACACATTGTTGATGCTCGAAATTTGATCAACATGGGGGGTTCAGAGGAATTTATCGTGTATTTTTTGATATATATTTTTTGGTGATTTTTCGGTGAATTTCTGAGGATTTTTTTCTGTATATTTTGTGATGAATTTGCTGTATTTCTTCATCCTCTGTTTTGTTGAAGAAAAGAAAGATGAAGAAGAAGAGAGGCACCGCCTCTGCTTCTCGTTGATAAGGGAGAAAATAATAATCGCACCCCTCAGACCTATCTCGATGATGTCCATCATCGGGGTATTTATATATATGTTTAATGGGCCCGATATTATCACAAGCGATATTATTTTAGGGCCCAAAAATAAAATAATTAATATAATACATATCCACGTGTAATATTTTAATAGGCGAGGCCAAAATTAGGTATCAACACACATGATGGCCTAGACTCCTAATATTAACCATAAACACAGTTCTAAACACATGATATAGAGGCAGCAATGAACTGAGCCCTCCATACATAACAATATGCCCAACAATTCCAACTAATATAACAGTTACCAAACAACAACAAAGGATTACAACAATGAAAGAAAAAGGCTACCACTGAACCTTAGACCTGGCTTCCACCTTCTCCCTCATTATTCATTGCCTGCAGCCTGTTTTTGAATTCATCCCAATCTCTCTATGCTGATCTGATAACCACCCTTTCTGGTATCCACACCTTTTGAAATTTCCAGAGATTTCTGGATTTCCAAAGCCACCATAAAATATATATTGTGAGCTCAATCCTTGCTGTAAAAACCTCCTTCTTGTTCACTGAACAAACATCCCTCCACCACTGCTTAAATGTGCCTACTTCTGCTACATTAGTCCAGCTAACCGAGGCAATTTCCCATATTTTATTTGCTCTGTTGCACTGGAGTAGACAGTGTTCCACTGATTCCAACTCCTCCCCACACCCATAACATGTAGGATCACAATCTAATCCCCTCCTCTGAAGATTTGAACTGACATGAAGTGTATTACTATAACACTTCCAGATGAAGTGTTTAAGTTTTGGTTTATATTTTAAAGCCCAACTCCTTCTTCTGATTCTTCTTTCCCAACTGGCTGTATCACTTCCCTCCGCAATGTCCAATTCCCACAATTTATTAAATACCAAATTAGAATAAGAACTGGACACAGAGAACTGACCTTGTTTCCCCAGCAACCACCTCCACTTATCATGCAAAAGAGGATCCAAGGTCTGTATTTGCATAATGGCTTCCCTGTCTTTCTTTGTGAAGCATTCCTCAAGCAACTCCTGTTTCCAAGATTTCCCATCTGCTTGCACTAACTCCTCAACCCAATTCACCTTATTAACTCCCACTGCAGTCCTTTCAGACAACCCAAATTCTGATGTTGTGATCCATGGATCATTCCAAACACTGATTTGTTTCCCTCTCCTCACTTCAACCCTGACAAAATTGTTTGAATTTATTCATCACCACCATCCAATTAGACCACATCCAAGAAGCATTATAAGGCTTGGTTGCTTGAAGCACAGAGCATTCAGGAAAATATTTCCCTTTCATTATTTTAGTGACCAACAGATTAGGATTAGTAGCTAACCTCCAAATTTGCTTGAGTATAAGAGCTTCATTAAAGAGAGCCACATCTCTGAACCCCAAGCCACCATTCTCCTTAGGTAAAGTCACCATCCTCCATTCTCTCCAATGCACTCCAGTTTGTTGTTCTCCCTTGCCCCACCAAAACCCAGCAGAAAGTCTTTCAATCTCTTTGCAAATACCTTTAGGAAGACAAAAACAAGACATAGCAAAAATAGGTAATGCACTGTTAACTGCTTTCAACAAGACTTCTTTTCCAGCACAAGACAGAAATTGATTCTTCCAACTGCCCAATCTGGTTCTAATAGCATTCAAAACAAAGTCAAAGGACTATTTCTTAGATCTTCCAATACCTAGGGGTAACCTCAGGTATCTAGAAGACCTATGCACCTAAATACCCCTCAACAACTGGCAGATAGAATGTTGCAAAGAGACCAAGTTGTTCTTACTGAAGAATATAGAAGATTTCCCTAGATTGACTTTTTGCCCTGTAAAAAGTTGACAGAACAATAAGCAAAGTTTGGGCACGAAAAATTTTAGCTTCACAAAGCACTAAGGTATCATCTGCAAACATTAGATGAGATAGAGCAGGGCTTTTTCTGGCAATCTTGATCCCTTTAAAAATTCCCACCCTAACTTCTCTTTGCAACAGTCTTGAGAATACTTCAGATATCAAAATAAAAATATAAGGGGACAGAGGGTCCCCTTGTCTGATGCCTCTAGAAGCTGAAATGTAACCCTTAATTTCCACACTCAAGTTAAAAGAAAAAGAAGGAGAAGATAAACAAGCCCAAACCCATTTAACAAATTTGGCATCAAAACCCATTCTAAGAAGAACTTTTTTAACACACCTCCACTCAACCCTGTCATATGCTTTCTCCATATCTAACTTCACTAACAATTGTTTACATAGTATATCTGCTGTAATATTCAAGATGCAGAGGCTAGCAACTTCTCAACCGTCCAATGGGCCAATAGGATTTGCTTGTCGGTGACGCATTGTATTCAATCGCCATAAATTAGTAAAGCCCAATCGTAAATGGGCCGACCCAAATTGTGGTATCGTGTGCACCACGCGTTGTCACGCTCCCTCAATGTTTGAGCTGAACTCCATTTCTATCCTACAAGCTGGAATCTCCCTTCCTTTTTAACAACACTCTCCAAGCTGATTGAGCTCAGAATCTATCATTTTTTCCGATCGGAAAATGCTGGGCCGTTTAGCTTCACGAAGCCTTCTTGAGATCCGTCAAGCTTACCGTCAGCTTCCCCAGGTTTTTCCGTTTAGCTCTAGGCTCACTCATGTCGACAATTCAAAATTCATTCTCACATAAAAACGGGTACCAAATTACCCGACCAGGCCATTCAGGCCTCATCCAATAGCAATTTAGAAAAATTGCCCATTATCTCAAATTGAATCAACTCGTCAAAGATCAAAGGGTGATTATCATAAATCAGGCCCAAGCCTAAAACGATCAACAAAACGCTCTAAGGTCCTAAAGCACCCTAAAATACATATTAACTAGTGATAAAATCAGCATCTTTCGCCAAAAAACACCTCGAGCGAGAAGAAATAATAAGTCCTCGAGACACACAGAATAAAAAGTCGTACGCTAGATCCATCTAAGGAAAACTGACAAACTAAAAAAAAGTGATCTCATGAATCACGCGAAAAGTATCCGCCACGCGCACTCGTCTACATATTTGCGATTTCATCAATATCTCTCATTACGCGTAAATAATTACACAATAAAAAGAGCTCGAAGCTCAAGAGTCACGAGGCGAAAACATCGCCAAATTGTAAAAAGTAAACGCGACTTCAGAACAGTTTAAT